CACACAAAGAAGGTAGAGTGCGGACAGGGAGCGGAGACATCGGTTGGAAAGAGGGCAGCATTATACTAGGAAAAAGAAGGTAAAGCAATGTTTGTATCCAAAACTTAAAGGTTGTCCGGGTTTTGCTTCGGTTTCGGATGTTTGCGGATGTTATATTTCGCGAGTATCTTCATCTTTCACATGAGAAAAGAAAAGATACAGAAAAGCCTATCAATTTTTCTACTGATTCCATAGCTCGAAATAAAGTCGAATAGTTTTGACATACTTGTAATTCTTGATTCAACTCTTCCTGTAAATTAACTTTTTTGATTACGCACTAGAAATTGCAAACTTTGAAAATGACGACTTGATCCTTGTTACGTTTATGTGTGTCTTGACATTGATAATTGTTCGCATTTTGCGGATAAAAGTTTTTTTTTTTTTTTTCAGGTATTCTTGACGGGGCCGTATCTCCCTCTTGTGGTATGACGGTAACGGCGCTGCAGCTGGCGACACAAACAAAGGAAACGTTTCCTCTTTGCAGTGCACGCCGCGCCAGGCATTGACCCCGCCCGGTCCCCGACCGGTCCCCGCCCGGCACTGCGCTGCCGTTCTCAATTCGATCTGCGTTCCCACGACTCGGCGCGACTTTTCCCCGCGTGGAGGTTGGAGGTACGGAACCACAGGCACTCGCTCACGCTCTGACAGTCGGGGAGCTCGGGCCGTGCGCGCAGGGCCGGCGGAAGGGGTTGCATTTGGCGCCGGGACAAGAGAGGGGCAGACCAGTCGGGAGTCGAGCTGGAGCCACTGCACTACCGACCGCGTAACTCACAGGCGGAATGACGTGGGACTCTGACGTGGTTCCATCCTAATGGGAAGTACCCCCAAAAAAGCGCGCTGCCGCGCAGAATACGAAATTCTCTGGATTCAAAAAAACTTGTCGTGGGAATTATTTGGCTGCTTTATTCATTCCGTGTTTAGCGCGCGCCCTGCTCTTACGAGCCCGAGGCTCGAATAATCTCCATTCGCTTTCAGTGCCTCGTCCTGCCCGCCTCACCCCGCCCGCCTCACCCCGCCCCGCCCCCCGCGCGCCACTGCCCTCCTTTCTCTTTCTTTCCCCACTGAGGACGTGACCTCCTCCCTCCGGCAGACGTCGTCAAGGTGAAAGGCGGCGGCAGGGGATGAGGACTCGAGCAGCGGAGCTGACGGCAGCCTCCAGTGGACCAGCGGCGAGCGGCGCCTGTACGAGCGGTGCGAGCCAACTGAATGCCACCCCCAAACAGCAGCCACCGGACTACAATCATCATCGACGCGCGCCCTCGCCAATCAAAACATGATTTGTTTTTATTTCTGCAAAAAACAAATGCAGAGCAAACTCGATGCTAAAAAAAATAAGCGACGAACGATCGAGGAAAATATAACACTTTTACTTCTGTTAAGTGCTATAGCCTGGGCTCGGTCTGCCCCAGCGCCCGAGCCCGGCCCTAGACCATAGGCCCTAGTCCCTCGACTCACCCGCCCGAGCCGAGCTGCGAAAATGAGAGTAATTCTTCAGCCGCGATCATTTTACTTCATTACTCGCTTCGTTGTTATTGTGGTGGACGCGCCGCCGGGGGCCCGGTCCACGCACTGTTAAATTCCTACAAACCAGGGCTGCGAAGTATTTTGCTACTTTGTAACTACGAAGCATTCACTTCGCAATTACAAAGTGATGCTTTGCAAATGCGAAGCAATGAAAACGCTGCAAAGCATCGCTTTGCAATTGCAAAGTGTCACTTCGTAATTGCAAAGCATCACGTTGTAATTGCGAAGTAAATGCTTCGTAGTTACAAAGGAGCAAAATACTTCGCAGGAATTTAACAGTGCGGGCAGCTTGGGGGCTGTGCCAAAACAACGCACCCTTAGGTGGTGGCGGTGTGTGTGTGAGGGGGGGGGGGATATTATGGGGTCTCAAAAGGATGAGGTTCAACATTTAAGTCTGCAGACGACCCCATACCCATAATCTTTGTACCCACGTAAAAATATCATGGGGTGCCTAAGGGCGCCAATGATCCAGATCCTTTTCGGCCAATACATATCCTATACATATCCTCCCCCCTAAACGCCAAGTAGTATGCGAACCACCCCTTGTCTACGTGAAGGAGGGCGGCAGGGAGTGAAGAGATGGTGAGTTAGCCGTCTGCTCGACGACGGTTCAGTTCATCTCCCTCCAGATTATTGAGGCCCACCCCATCGGTTGGTAGTTGGTGCGGGTTGGTCGCGTGTGCACTCGAGTGCTCCCCACCGCCCCAACCCCGGGGTGTGCCTAACCCAACACGACCGAACAGGGCGTCCGGCGCGCCCATGCCACCCCACCACCGCCCGGACCGCAGGCCCCACATTCCAACCACAGAACCGGAGTCGAGAGTTTAGAGAAATTGGTGACATTTCATTGGGATTGGGCAGAACAAACAAAGTCATCAAAAGAGGACGGATTTTAAAGTAGTGCCATTAGATTTCACTTTCGGCCAAATTAGCCAAATCGAGACCACTTGTTTTCGAATTCACGAGAAACGGCCAGTTTTCAGCCTATTGTCTGCTGCTCCACCCCGCTCTGCCACGTGGGATAAGGGGGTGGGGGTGACACCAACGCGGTGGTAGCCATTAGGGGCCTGCAATGCGAGGAATGGGGTCGCTGCCAGCCCCCCCTGGCCTGCGTTCCAGGCGGTGCTAGGGAGGGAGGGGGACATGTGCGAGAGAGAGAG